CAGCGCACTTTCCCAACATAGGAGCAAAGATGCTACACATTTCTCGCTATAGATGAATGACATTAGTGCTCAGTGCCCGAGTCTAAAAACATCATATTAACAACTTGTAATTCGCCCAAGATATGCGTTGGTTTGCAAACAACGAATGCGGTATAAATAATCCAACTAGACCAAAAGAAGGACAAATTTACAGACAATAAAATTTTTATCCACTTAATATGGGTTGGATACCCTTTACAAATTTGGATTGGAAGTAAGCGCCATCCCCTTTCCCCATGTGAAAAGACTATTCAACGTATGTGACTGATGGTAAACAAGGAAGCGGAGGAAAGGACAACTTCAGGTCAAGCCTTAATGGTCATAGTGCCCCAGGCCGTAGGTAAAGTCGATAAACACACCAAAATTTACAGATTAGCGAAGTTCTGATCCTGTCAATTTTTTAGGGAAGAATCCGTCCACAGTACTAATGTAGAAATTCACGGTTTGTCCATTTTGCAGAATTTGAATACGTAAAGGAAAGGCATCCTGAACATACGGAAGTAGGAACGCAGGGACGGACAAATTTGACACCGTACTTCTCCATGTAGTCACTGACTAGTCCAGCCATCTGTTGATCGAAACCGCGAAGGTAAATTGAACGCACCATCACGGTCACATCACACCCGATACTTCGCAAGAAGCCAGCGCATTCAAGGGAGACGTAGCTCGCTCCCACACACAGTGTCTTTCCCGGATTATGCTCCAGTGAGAAGAGGTCATCACTACAATGCGCAATAAAACGGGTAACGTCCCATTTCCATTAGTTCGCCCTGAACCGCATCGAAGAAACCCAATCTTCCGAAACAATCAAATTAATCTATCAATGGGAAGTAACCTGGTGATCCCATATTCTTTGGCCCCTGGAATTGAAGGATAGCGCGGACGCTCACCCGTAGCCACGACAATCGTGTTAGCTGTGATGTTCTTCACTATGCCCTGTTTATTTGTAGTCTACAAGTTTCGGAAGAGATCTGATAATATTGTAAAACGAAACATAGCGACAGGCTTAATAATAATTGAATACCAGCAAGTAGGGGGTGCGAAGTAGATAAGATCCTTTATCTCATGAACAGATGAAATACCCTAACCTCCGCGGACGAAATCTAGCCTTAATGCATGGCACAACAGAATACGAATATGATCAAGAGGTGTTTCGAGTATCGTATTTTTCAAGTTAGGCCATTTTCTTGCGAACAGATCACCTTAATAGTATGTGCGTCCACAATTTCACCAAGGGCGTTGAGGTACTTGACATTGGCGTTCATCAGGACTGAACGGTAGCCAAAATTGAGGGAATGAATGTAGTCCTGAATGCCTTCCACCATCTTTGTCCAGTCGTGCGAACCTATCGGGGAAGAAGGTAAAAGAGAATACTGTATAATCACTTCACAAGATTATTCTCCTATATTTTACTGAATAGCAAATAACTATACCTCTATTTACATCCCAACCGAAGGATTCGGCATCTTCCATCTGGTGATCTACAAGATGAATAAACGATTCAGAGTCGGCATAAACACCATTTCAAGAAAAATTATGGACTTTTAAGTTAACTCGAAGTAAAGGTGGTAAAATCGATTCGTGAATCAGGTTTTTGAAATTCATAACTCACTTAAAAGAGCAGCCTGATGCATAAGTTTTTTGGGAATGCAGCCGACATTGACGCAAGTACCACCTAAACCCCAGGTGGTGCCCATAGGTGTGGGCACGACGAAGTCAAGAAGAGCAACTTTAGCGCCTGACTTTGCCGATTCCTGCAGATAAATAACAAATATATTGAACAAATAATAACTATTGATTACAACTGACAATATCACTGAGCAATCTCTAAGCCTCAAAGTGGCCAGATGATCCAATAAGTAATGAGCAAACATAAATAATTCTATAAGCATGGTTTGGGGTGAAATGATCGAAAAGGTGTGGGTAAAAGCTGCCACTAGGCCATTTAGATTACAAATAACAATAGAGTAATGGGCAGAAATCTATGCAACCTACAACAAAAACCTACCAAATTCCACAAAGCACCACCTATAATCAGTAGCAGCACAAAGACAACTTACTCCAGGTATTAGAAACTACGCGTTCCCAAGACATCTAGGAAAGCATTCATAGAAATTCCAACAACCTATGTAACTATTAGAATTGGATAAGTAATGTACTTGAGTGAGACATTTCTCCTCAGTAGTTTGTTATATAACTCCCTTATATGATAATCAATTTAGGCATAGTACAATGGGGAGACTGATTCGGCTCCTCATAACTATTAACATTGTTGCTGATATTGCAAATAGATCTAAACAATGTTAAACAGTCACCACTAGACACAACCGAATAAACGATAAATAGCTAACGAGGCTTAAAAGAATTAACATTGTCTGACCTTCGCTAGAGCCAACCCGCCGGATCCACCACCGATGATCACCATATCATAGTCGTACTTCATCTCATTCGCCTTTTTCACAATGGTCTCATCATCAATTGCCATCACATCGTCGCAGCCACCTGGACGATAAGTAACATTCGCGAACGTTAACCTCTCTATTAATCTTCAAGCACTTCCTATGACAAAATATTTACAACAGAATTAACAACCCAAATCAGCTCTCAACCACTTAATTTACCAATGAATTCGCCACGGAAGAAAACCTGCGGGACTGTAGTGCGACCAGTGATTTCTTGCAGCATCTTTTGATAATCTGATCCATTTTCTAATTAAACATTAAGTCATCCACAGGAAAAGCGCATACTTTTTAAGTCCAAGTCGAGGCGTCCAAATGGAATTTTTAGGCTGTCAAATCGGTCCATAACCTAGCAAATGCTAGTAAATGGACTAAGACCAGACTGATACCTTTTTGCAGTAGGGACAGAAGCTTTTAGTGAAGACCAGGACGGCTGCATTGTTGATCCTATTTCGAAGTT